TATCGGTGAAGTGTCGGTCAAGTATCGGTGAAGTACCGGTGAAGTATCGGTGAAGTACCGGTGAAGTATCGGTGAAGTACCGGTGAAGTATCGGTCATGTATCGGTCAAGTATCGGTCATGTATCGGTCAAGTATCGATCAAGTATCGGTCATGTATCGGTCAAGTATCGGTCATGTATCGGTCAAGTATCGGTCATGTATCGGTCAAGTATCGGTCATGTATCGGTCAAGTATCGGTCATGTATCGGTCAAGTATCGGTCATGTATCGGTCAAGTATCGGTCAAGTATCGGTCATGTATCGGTCGAGTATCGATGGTTTAAGACTATATCGGTCGACACATTTATCGGTCGACTGTCGGCCGATACATCGGTCGACTATCGACCGATAGTCGGTCGACAGTCGACCGATAGTCGGTCGATTGTCGACCGATAGTCGACCGATAGTCGACCGATAGTCGACCGATATATCGGTCGACTGTCGCCCGATATGTCGACCGAGTCCACCTATAGTACACATGATCCGAAATGGTTTTGTGTTCATTCGTGGATTGCCACGGAAGAAGTGGTCCAGCAAGGCTTATACTATTTTGCGAAACGAAACGAAACGAAACGAAACGAAACGAAACGAAACGAAATCGGGTCAGATGAAATAAAACAAAAGGAATAATGCAGATATATTTTCAAATAAGGTAAAGATAACTTTCACAAGGATTTTGGAGTAATCGTTCATTAATAAGAAGGATTTTTATTCATTTCGCAAAATAGTAATTTTAGGAGAGTTACTATTTTGCGAAATGGACTATTTTCACTCTGCGGTGACAACGTGACCTCTTTCATGTCGCGAAAATACATTTAAACATTACAAATTAGTATATAACCGAACATTTTGGCCTCCTCTTATTTCTTAAACCGTATTAAAATATATTTCGCAAAATAGTAATTTTAGGAGAGTTACTATTTTGCGAAATGGACCATTTTCACCCCTGCGATGACAACGTGACCTCTTTCATGTCACAAAAATACATTTAAACATTACAAATTAGTATATCACCGAACATTTTGGCCTCCTGTTATTTCTTAAACCGTATTAAAATGTATTTCGCAAAATAGTAATTTTAGGAGAGTTACTATTTTGCGAAATGGACAATTTTCACCCTGCGGTGACAACGTGACCTCTTTCATGTCACAAAAATACATTTAAACATTACAGATTAGTATATCACCGTACATTTTGGCCTCCTGTTATTTCTTAAACCGTATTAAAATGTATTTCGCAAAATAGTAATTTTAGGAGAGTTACTATTTTGCGAAATGGACAATTTTCACTCTGCGGTGACAACGTGACCTCTTTCATGTCGCGAAAATACATTTAAACATTACAAATTAGTATATAACCGAACATTTTGGCCTCCTCTTATTTCTTAAACCGTATTAAAATATATTTCGCAAAATAGTAATTTTAGGAGAGTTACTATTTTGCGAAATGGACCATTTTCACCCCTGCGATGACAACGTGACCTCTTTCATGTCACAAAAATACATTTAAACATTACAAATTAGTATATCACCGAACATTTTGGCCTCCTCTTATTTCTTAAACCGTATTAAAATGTATTTCGCAAAATAGTAATTTTAGGAGAGTTACTATTTTGCGAAATGGACAATTTTCACCCTGCGGTAACAACGTGACCTCTTTCATGTCATAAAAATTCATTTAAACATTACAAATTAGTATATCACCGTACATTTTGGCCTCCTGTTATTTCTTAAACCGTATTAAAATGTATTTCGCAAAATAGTAATTTTAGGAGAGTTACTATTTTGCGAAATTGACTATTTTCACCCCTGCGGTGACAACGTGACCTCTTTCATGTCACAAAAATACATTTAAACATTACAGATTAGTATATCACCGTACATTTTGGCCTCCTGTTATTTCTTAAACCGTATTAAAATGTATTTCGCAAAATAGTAATTTTAGGAGAGTTACTATTTTGCGAAATGGACAATTTTCACCCTGCGATAACAACGTGACCTCTTTCATGTCATAAAAATTCATTTAAACATTACAAATTAGTATATCACCGTACATTTTGGCCTCCTGTTATTTCTTAAACCGTATTAAAATGTATTTCGCAAAATAGTAATTTTAGGAGAGTTACTATTTTGCGAAATGGACAATTTTCACTCTGCGGTGACAACGTGACCTCTTTCATGTCGCGAAAATACATTTAAACATTACAGATTAGTATATAACCGAACATTTTGGCCTCCTCTTATTTCTTAAACCGTATTAAAATATATTTCGCAAAATAGTAATTTTAGGAGAGTTACTATTTTGCGAAATGGACCATTTTCACCCCTGCGATGACAACGTGACCTCTTTCATGTCACAAAAATACATTAAACATTACAAATTAGTATATCACCGAACATTTTGGCCCCCTCTTATTTCTTAAACCGTATTAAAATGTATTTCGCAAAATAGTAATTTTAGGAGAGTTACTATTTTGCGAAATGGACAATTTTCACCTTGCGGTAACAACGTGACCTCTTTCATGTCATAAAAATTCATTTAAACAAACAAAAGCACGTGGAACTTGCGCAAATGCGAAACACGATCTCTTGCTCGTAAGGAAGAGGTGTGCGACGGGGGTGTAATCAGAAGCGCGTACGCGTAACTTTTCCATGTATATTATTTTTATTAAAAATTTTGAAGCAAAGGAACTGTATTACTTGCGATTATAAAACTGCTGGACGACTATTTCGGCATGGATATGCTTCTGTTCTCTATACGAGACGGAGAGTCTAAACATGTTTAGACGCCACTGGAAAACTGTCATGTTGGTGCAACATGCCAAGATGTTCGGTGATATACTAATTTGTAATGTTTAAATGTATTTTTGTGACATGAAAGAGGTCACGTTGTCACCGCAGGGGTGAAATAGTCCATCTCGCAAAATAGTAACTCTCCTAAAATTACTATTTTGCGAAATATATTTTAATACGGTTTAAGAAATGAGAGAAGGCCAAAATGTTCGGTGATATACTAATTTGTAATGTTTAGATGTATTTTCGTGACGTGAAAGAGGTCACGTTGTCACCGCAGGGTGAAAATTGTCCACTTCGCAAAATAGTAACTCTCCTAAAATTACTATTTTGCGAAATACATTTTAATACGGTTTAAGAAATAAGAGGAGGCCAAAATCTTCGGTGATATACTTATTTGTAATGTTTAAATGTATTTTTGTGACATGAAAGAGGTCACGTTGTCACCGCAGGGGTGAAAATAGTCCATTTCGCAAAATAGTAACTCTCCTAAAATTACTATTTTGCGAAATACATTTTAATACGGTTTAAGAAATAACAGGAGGCCAAAATGTACGGTGATATACTAATCTGTAATGTTTAAATGAATTTTTATGACATGAAAGAGGTCACGTTGTTACCGCAGGGTGAAAATTGTCCATTTCGCAAAATAGTATCTCTCCTAAAATTACTATTTTGCGAAATACATTTTAATACGGTTTAAGAAATAAGAGGAGGCCAAAATGTTCGGTGATATACTAATTTGTAATGTTTAAATGTATTTTTGTGACATGAAAGAGGTCACGTTGTCATCGCAGGGGTGAAAATGGTCCATTTCGCAAAATAGTAACTCTCCTAAAATTACTATTTTGCGAAATATATTTTAATACGGTTTAAGAAATAAGAGGAGGCCAAAATGTTCGGTTATATACTAATTTGTAATGTTTAAATGTATTTTCGCGACATGAAAGAGGTCACGTTGTCACCGCAGAGTGAAAATTGTCCATTTCGCAAAATAGTAACTCTCCTAAAATTACTATTTTGCGAAATGAATAAAAATCCTTCTTATTAATGAACGATTACTCCAAAATCCTTGTGAAAGTTATCTTTACCTTATTTGAAAATATATCTGCATTATTCCTTTTGTTTTATTTCATCTGACCCGATTTCGTTTCGTTTCGTTTCGTTTCGTTTCGTTTCGCAAAATAGTATAAGCCGTCCAGCAAAACCCTGGGATAAATACAACGTTGACTGGGTGCCAACACTTAACCTTGGACACGCAAAAAGGAAGGCAGAAGGCACGGGGAAAGCAGTACAGGAACGAGCAGAGAGAGCCAAAGTTAGGGGAAGAAGAAGCTTGACGAAGCGAAACCGACGATCGAAGAGAAAAGACTTCGGTTGAATGACGAAGGAACTCAAGTCTCTAATATCTCGTTTACGTCTACGAGCGACGATTTAGATACAACTACAGAAGGAATTGTCCTGTCGCACGGAGATCAAGAGCTTGGTAAAAATTAAAAATGCCGTCAGACCGAGATCAAAAGCTTTGGCGAGAGCCGAGCTTCGGACCGAAGGTTTGGCACGTACTTCCAAGCTTAAGTTTTATGATGCCTCTTCACAGACTGACGAGTTTGATTATTTATTTAGTACAAATAAGAAAGTAACTGACTTTGACGAAGAGTATTTCAGGAATAGCAACGATAAAGTACTATTTTGTACTGGCCTTCCTTCTTATGAAATCCTGAACTTTGTGTTTGAACTCGTGTCACCGTTTGCTTCTCGTCGCTCCCAAACACTGAGTCCTTTTCAAGAATTTATTATGGTTCTGATAAAGTTGAGATTGAATGTTCCTTTTCAAGACCTAGCTTATCGGTTGAACATCTCAGTTCCAACGGTTTCCAGGACATTTCATTCTTGGCTGATAACTATGGACATAAGATTGTCTCCATTTATCCACTGGCCAGATCGTGAAAGTTTGATAAGATCAATGTCACAATGCTTCCAGTTCAGCTTTGGAACTAAAACTACTTTGATAATTGACTGTTCCGAGATTTTTATTGAGAAACCTACAAACATTCAGCTCCAACAAACACCATAATTTCATTTGTTTCTTGAGGCATGGGGTGGTCGAACCTCAGACAAGTTTTTGAGAGAAAACAGTGGTATCTTGAGCAAGTTGGTTCCTGGCAACATGGTGATGGCTGATCAAGGCTTCACCATACCTGAGAGTGTTGTGTTCAAGAGGGCAAAGTTGTTAGTTCCAGCTTTTACCAAAGGCAAGGAGCAACTTGACCTAGTCGATGTTGAAACCACAAGAGGAATTGCCAATATTCATATCCATGTGGAAGGAATCATTGGTCTTTTGCACAGCAAGTATACAATGCTACAAGGAACACTGCCAACTGATTTTTTAATGAGTAATCCTCATGGATCTCTTGAAGATAAAATCCCAGCTATTGACCGTGTCATACAGGTATGCTCTGCTCTGGTTAATTTATGTCCTGCTATAGTACCATTTGACTAGTCCATTTCAGTTATGCACTAGTCAGTGGAATCCCCCTTCGCTGACTACCCATGGAATATGGGGCATTACTGGGGATAAAGCAGGGTATTAAATGGGGAGTAGATCACTTACTTGATTACATATAAGAGAATTAGACTGGCAAAAATGCTGCCTTGGACAGGGAATTGCCAGGCATTAGTACAACGTTAGACATTTTTTTTTATAATCTAATCCCCCGCTATTCCCAGGGTTGTTGAGGGCAGGAGATTCCACTGACTAATGCATTATTTTCTTTGTAGTGAAGTTATTAAAACTGGAGTTATTAAGACGGTGATGACAAATCAAATTTTATTAAAAAAACAATGCATCCAGTCTTTGTCATAGGCTCACTTGATGAGCATCATACTCTTTGCGTTAATGCTGAGGAAATATGTTTGTATAAATTTCAGAAAACAATTCTTTGGATCATATGAGCCTATCAGTGATCAGCCAGAAAAAATGGCATTTCCACAAAAGTAACTTCCATTAAAATTGAAATGCATTGTTTTCATTATACACTTAAAAATGGTTCAAGTTCAAGGGGGCAAATGGATTCTTAGAGGGTTTTTATTAAAAATTAAAAAAAATAATAATAAAAATCAATATTTTGAGAATAGATTATATTTAATGAGATAATTAAGATAAGTTGTCACAAGTTCAGCATCTGTCTGGGTGGTGACCCATATCTTAGTTTGCTCTAAGTACTGCAAATTTTTAAAAATACATACATGGACCTGCACATCAAGCAGTCATGAGTGAGTGATAAGATTGTGACACAGACCTCATGAACATTATAGCAGTGGGAACAGAAACCTTGGGTAAAGAGGGCTTGCCTGCAAGGAGAAAGGGGCACTCCCTTAAAACAATTTTGACAATAATTATTTTAACCCTTAAGGACTAAATTTGGTTGAAACAGAGGGATAGAGGGGGAGTTCCACTCCTTGACCCTCCCAATATCAGCTACTCATATACGACATTATTTGCAGTTATGTGAGCATATAGGTTGGACTGGTTCCTGCTGTAGTGAATGTTTTCATTTTTTCATTTCAGTTTGGTTTTGAAAAGGAGCACAACACAGTTCAGTAGAAGAGCAAGGTGAAGACTGAAACTGATCTTTTTCTTTTAACACTTTGACCTCTACAAGCTACTAGGATCAAATTTGTCCTTACAATATCACAAAATCATAAATCACATGTTAAGGTCATGAGAATAATGGAAATGATCACTGACTTAAAAAGACTCTTGATTATTAAGCAAATTCTCCTTGTCAGCACCCTTGGAAATTGACAGAGAACAGTATGGAGAATTTGCACACTAACATTTGTTAAGGGTTGATATTTTCCTTTCAAACTAATATATCAACATCTTGATATGTTATCAGTGGTTATAATTATGATTATGAATAGAAATTATTTCTTCTATAATTTGCTGATTAGTTTCAAATACTTTTTACAGGGTCACTTACCAACAAGTATATTGTATACACCTAATAATAATTTTTTTTTAATCTCTTTTTCAGCAAGCTGGTTACAAGTGTTGTTACTCTGTTCTCTTCTTCCTACGTATTCCATTGGAATCAATTTTTTCCTACCCAAGAACTGCTTTATCCACCCATGTTTGATGGACAAGTTGTACTTTATCCCAGTGAGAAAAACTTAAGAGACTACATGAGCTGGAGGCAGGCAGATTGTAAATGTCAATATATTACAACAATGATAATTTGGTTTTATCAATTGAATTGATGATGTAAATTGGCCACTGTAGAGAACCTTCATCAAAGTGTCTATTTGATTTCTACAGGTCACATTAACAACCTCTACAACACATGCTTTTGGTGTCTGGTAAAGCAGTCAGGTCTAACAGCAGAGGAGGCAGAGGAGAGACTAAATGTAAGTAAAGCTGATGTATCTTGGTTTTTGTAGACAATCTGTATTATGAAGGTTGTCTCATACTCATTGTGCCACATAACATTCTTCTTTTTAATTTATCAAAATTTTATCTTTGTTCTTAAATTTTTACGATGGGGCAAGGTTGAGAATATTTGGTAGGGCAGCTTGGATTCCAACTTAGCTGTCCTACTTTAAAGTTAAAAAATGCCTTCTCTTTTAGAACTTTCTATTAACTTTAATTTTGAATACTTGTTTTGATATTCCTCTTCCCAGAAAATTTCCAGAAAACTTTGATAGGACAGAACGCGTTAGCGTGGTGAATAGGCATTGGCTCTACCCAAGTCTTATGACTTGTATGCAAAACAAATTGCTCAATCTTAAGGAAAGGGAAAATACTAACATGCACCCTGCCTGTACCCAGTCCAGGCCTCTCAGTTATCGATGCCTAGATTCATATTAATAGAGATTAATATTCATGTTTGGTCAGCAAATTCTCCTTGGTACAGTATGGCATATCCAAGGTGAAGAGATAAGCTATATGAAAGGCCCTAACTTGTTTCCTTTAGTGTCTCATTTGGTCTTTTCTCAACATAGCTTGCAGTGCAGAGAAAATTTAGGCATTCAACTGCTCAGTAATTGTGCATGAAATGTTTGCCTATTATCTTGGATTGTTAGTGAAGGAGAATGCAAGGGAGAGGAGCAAAATGACTACTTACAAAGTAAAAAAAGAAGCCAGGGGAGTAACAGTTCATTTCCTGGCCTATCCATTTCTGTTCATGCTAACCCCTAATCAAACCATGCCAATGGAAGCACCAGCACAGCAAGCTTGTGTCTACAATGAAGAGAGACTCAGTCTCACTAGAGTTTATCCATACTCCATATCTCCTTGCTTTACCCACTCCTCCCTCTCCCCTTACCTTGAGTGGGCTAATTTCTAACAGTGCTTTTTTCTATCTCCTTCAATTAGGGAACTGTTTCCAGTGACAAGAATGAGCTTCTCTTCTCTGTATTCAACATGAATTATAATAACCTTCCTCAAATATACAGAAAAGGATCAGTTCTGGTCTGGGAAAGGGTAATACTATTTTCTAAGTTTGTTTGTCAATTTTAATTTCCACTTCATGTAAACCCTTCAACCCTTCTCATGCTAACATCAGTATGCATTTTCTCCATATTGTTCTCTATACATTACCAAAGGTGCTGACAAGGAGAATTTGTCTTTTAACAATCAAAATTTGGATCAATATCAGTATCTGGGCAACTGCCTATCTACCCCTACCCTAACCCAACAATGGTTAATTAATAACAAGTTAGGGTTTATGCAGGGTTAAGGGAGGGGTAGGTGAGCAGTTGCCCAGATGCTGATATTGATCTAAAAATTTTTTAAAATGGTGATCGTTTCATTTTGTGACCTTAGTGCTTGATTCAGGGTTGATAATGTGAGGAGATATTAGAGATTAGTCACTCTTAGGGGTCAAGGATTATACCCTAAAAGTGACCAGCATCTAATTTCTCCTTGCAGTAACACTGCTGAGTAATTCATTGAGTTCATGAGAATAAAGGAAATGATTGCCCACCTGAGAAGCTTTGACTGTTGAATGAATTCTCTGTTGTCAGTACCAAAGGAAATGTATAGAGAAGAGTGTGAAGAACTAGGGTGTCAAGGGTTAAATTATTGTTTATATTTTTGTATTATATCCATGTTTATCTCCTACTAGGTTTGTGACATCAATGACTCAGCTCGAGAAGAAAATGCTAGAAAACCAAAGAGACAGATTGTTGTCCACTATACTGACATTATTGGGGATACATTTTGGAGTGAACATCCTGAAATCCTGGAAAGTTAACCACTTTGGTTTTGTGGAATATCTTGATCAAAGGACATATTTGTAATGCTGCCACAACTTCATGCTAGATGTATTAATTCCCCCTTTTCGCTCCCAAAACAAAAATATGAAATGGTGTTTGAAAATAGTACAAGGATAGAAATAATAACAAGCTGAAACAAACACAATAAAACTATGAATCACACTAACTGCTACAACTATCATAATTGCATGCGATCTAAAATGAGGGAGGGTGGGTGGGGAAAAAGGTAGACAGCAATCAACACAAACAAATCGGCATGGTACAACTATTGAATTAACATGAAGCTGATGAATGACACCTTAGAATAAAATCAATTTGTAGCTGAAATACGACACTGGCTGAACCTTTGACCTAAGCCAGATCAACTATCCAGGGGCAACTATTTTAAATGGAATTTACAATACTCACACCATTCTAACACACATGAACATTCTCATCCATTTAATGCAATAACATTTGAAGACTGTAATGCTTAAATAAATTTTAGATAACTTTTGTTATTTTATAAACAAGCACCTATTTTACTTATTTTTATCCATTCTATATACTTTGTGGGGGAAATTAGTCATAACAACAAGAACAACAAAAAAAATTCCTTGAAGATTGGGTGTAAAGCACAGAAAGTCCTAAATATTTGGTGGGGTTGTGAACAAGATAAGCGATAATGGAGATGCAACAAAGTATTGATTGGCTTACATTGTAAAGATACAATTTTACTTAGTACACTCTTCTGTGGATTACAAAATGAGATCATTTACCTCTTGAAAACTTAAGACTGAAGAGTTAAAAGCTTGTACTCTTAATTTTTTAGCCAGGGAATTATTCCATATTTTCCATTTCTAAAGTAATGAGGGAATTGAAACCCTCTTGTTGTTTTTTAGTTCTTGAATGCATCATTTTATATAGCTCTCTCAATCTGTTCACTCCTGTTAAGTTTAGGGCCTAGAAAAACAAAAAAAAAACTTAGGACTGAAGAGTTAAAAGCTTGTACTCTTAATTTTTTAGCCAGGGAATTATTCCATATTTTCCATTTCTAAAGTAATGAGGGAATTGAAACCCTCTTGTTGTTTTTTAGTTCTTGAATGCATCATTTTATATAGCTCTCTCAATCTGTTCACTCCTGTTAAGTTTAGGGCCTAGAAAAAAAAAAAAACTTTTAACCATATTCCTGTGGGTTCATATGATTTCTTTAGATGTTATCTAAAATTTTTTCTGAACATGCCTAAAAGATTAGTACTTTGAATACTACTTTGTGCAGAGCATGCAAAATTCTATCAGCTCAGGTTAAATATCTTGTACAGATAATTAGCTGAATGGAATGTTCAGTTATTGTTCAGTTCTTTGAATACTAATTGTGACCAAGGCAGGTTCTGATGTTGTTATTTGAACAATGAGACAGACTTATAGCTACTAATAAATTTATTTATACAGGAAAGTACAAAAAAAGAAAAGGGTGATTGTAAGCAAATCCTCAGTCAAATAGGTCACCAACTTGTGGTTAAAATGGAGTTACTTTTTGTAACCAAGAGGCCCTGAGCCTGTAGGTGCAGGTCTTGACACTCTGAACTACTGAATTAAACTAACTAACTGTACTTCTTTTATAAGGAATTGAACAATGGCTGGAAATTCTTATGATTTTGAAGCTAGGTGTGATAGTGTGACATACAGGAAGTTTATGATGCACATCCTGTGTGTGGGATGATTTGATTATTAATAAGAAATAGTTTCTGCAGATGTAACTCTAAAACTATGACAAAATGTCATGCATTTTGTGAACATGTACCATTAGGGACGATGGGATTAGTGCAGAGACATCTATCATGGCCATGTGTAAATGAGTTCTCTAATGTTTTTTACAATTTGTTAGTTTATCTCAGCCATCCTGTGCTATATCTGAGAGAGAATTTTACCATAGGCTAAAAGCACTGACCATGGGTAGCATGAATTAAATTGATCGTAATGATAGAAATACTCTAGCTAACTTGAAAACAAATTTTTAGAAGGATATCTTATGATACAAAGCTATGGTGTAAATCAAGAAAATCCACTATTGGATGGGTATGGATATTTTTTGGGACAATGAAAAAAGGGTAAAAAGATCCTGGCAGGATGTAATTGTACAAGGTAGCTCATACATACCAAGTTTTTCTTCTGGAAGCTCTGTCAAAGACGAACTACAAAAGGAAAAGGGTATTTAAAACAAATCCTTCACACCTCCCCATCTTGTTAACCCTTTTTCTCCCTATATTTCATTGGTGAATCTCCTTACTGTCTGCTATACAATTCATGTGATGTTAGTTTGGAAAATTTGGAATTGGATGAGTCAATAATCCCCTAATTGATATTTTTCTTTATTCTCATTACTTGTCTGCTTGATCTTGAACTGATAGTGTGAGAATAAATTCTGTCTAGGTCACTAGTGGGACTTAAGGGGTTAAATTTGTACCCCTTGTATCATCAATACATCCCCATTCACACTCTGCTACTCATGATTAAGGACCCTGGTGTGAAAATAAGGACAGCAGAAGGTACAAAGTACAAACCTATGTCATCTCCTCCAATTCTTGTGACACAGCATCTTCATCTTCCTGAGTCAAACTTCCACATAAAAGTTGGTCAATCTCCTAGGGAAAGAAAATCACAAATGTCTGTTAACATTTGGATAGAAACTGCAGAAACCATAGGTTTTTAATCTGTATCTCTCACCCTCTGGCATTTAGTTCCTTCCTTGGTTTCATCCATCATTTTCTCTACATCTTTGATGCTAATTATCTGTGACAAAAAGTACAATTCACTTCATCTGACCAGAAAAAATTGGCATACCCTTCTACTTGCATATTTTGACATTGTAAATATATAGAAATTATTGAATTTTCAACTGCAGATATTTTCCTAATGTTCTGATTGGTTCACCCAACTCCAGTTATCAGCTCATGTTCCAAGTCACCTGATAGGGAATCACTGAATTAATGCAAAGGCCAAAGAAAAGATTACTTTTTTAATTTTACATAGTTACCTCTTGCATTTTCTTCAGAATTTCATCTCCTTGTTTCAGTACATCAGCCACTTGAATTTCAAGCCAAGCCAACTTAACAGCATGCATAACATCTTGTATCTGTTATAAGATGACCACTCTTTGTCTCTTACTTGAATCTTTTACTTCATGAGGGGTCAAGTGCCAAGAGAGGGAAAAGTATTTTTGTAACCCTCTTGACAGAAGGCCAAAGGGGGCAAGACAGTGGCACACCTTTCGAATTTGATGAAAGTGCATTAACAAACCTGAGGAGTACATCTTAGCAATGGGCTAGTGGGGATGTGCTGCTGGACAGGGTCATATTTTCATGACTGGATTCAGGATTTGGGGAGTAAAAAAATTCTGGCCAGTAAGGTATTAAAAATGGAAAGATTTGCAGTTAAGAAGTTGTTACCATGTTGCCAAAAGTGACTAAGATGGGGTCTACAATTGGCAAAAGAATATACTATAATGGGATAGGGGGTCCTTTATAGAGGCCAGCTGCCTTACCCAGCAAAAAATGCCCCCCCCCCCTCCATTTGGTTGCAGGGTTTTTATCTAACTTCAATAAAAGCTTTAGACATAAGTTTAAGTCCATCCCTGTCTCAAGTCATAAATTGAGATCACAACAGATCAAGTCATATTATATTGGTAAGCTCCTATGACTTTGATGAAGAGCATGAGTATAATTTATACATTTGTCAACAAACCATTTCCTTTAAGTTCTCCAGCTGGCTGTCTGTCCTCTCCAGTATCTGCTCTTGGTATTTCCTCTTCCTAAGCAGAAGCTTTGCTTCACTGCTCAATAAAAAAAGAAAATTTCACTTTCCTCAGTTATCAATAATAATTTTCCTTATTTTCCCCCTTGACCCAGATCTGGCTCACCACATATGCATCTTGTTTGATGCTATATGTTATTATGACCTTATGTTCTTTCTGTAGGAAATCTAATCTTATATAAGCCTCATGGCTTCATATATATAGGTTCCCTTATTATACACATTGCTGTATTTAACTTAATTCATTGTGCTTCCTTGAGACTTTTTATTGTTACAGTAGTATAACAAATTAAAAAACCTTAATGTTTGAGGAACTGAAGATTTAAACATCATAAACTTACATAAACTGTTCATACTGTAGATCATTTTATTAATAAGATAATTTAGTTTTATCAACTAAGTTGATAATGTAAATTGGCCACTGCAAAGAGTTTCTAAAGGTGACATTTTGCATGTTAGCCCTTTGCCAGGGAGAAGGGCTGACAAAATGGGCTTACAAAAGGGCTTTTGCTCTGAGAAGGGCTTAAGCTCAAAGTGTCAGCTTTATAAACTCTTTAAGATAGCCAATTAACACAACTCATCAACTCAGTTGACACAACTAAATTATCTGGTTAGTATTAAGACTGCAATCTCAAGACCTCTAGGTCCTTCACTTTAAAACATTGTCAAAACTTACTTTTTCTTTCCTTCCTGCAACAACTTTTTTGCCAATTGTCTTTCTTTTTCAAGATTCAGTTGTATCTAATTAACAGTAACATTTGTTAGGAATAGAGCTGAAATTATAAAAGAAAACTCTCAGACACCCATAAGACAAATGTATTTAGATTGTATTTGAACACTCTTTGAAAAGATTGTCAGATTAATTTTTGAAGCATGCAATTTGGAGGGCATGACTGCAAACCTGAGCCAAAGTTATCACAGCAGGTAATCAAAATGACATAAAATATGTAACAAAGAGAACTAAAACAATGTACTACCAGCCTCAAGTGTCATTGACCAGGTTGTGAATACAAGACAGTTTAAAAAGGTCTAGATGGTGTTTTATTTGATTGGTTAAACCCTTTAACTCCTAATAGTGATTGACCAGTAACTTCCCCCATATGATATCCAGCTGACAGGTTATGAGAATTGACATAACATTCTCAAACTTATCAGGTAGAAGTTGTTATCTTGATCTAATACCAAATTTTTGAGACTTATTTACAAGGAAATGAGTCACAGCTAGAGAAGAGAATTAACAACTAGAGTTTTGGGAGTTTAAAGGTTAAAGGATGAAGCTAGCTACAGAACTCAAGACAGATCCGAAACTTAAAGTGAAACAACACAAAATTAATTTGGAGTAACATTTGACACTTACTGTAAATGAAAATTCCTGTGGTTTCAATAAATTTTGAAGTACACATTGAAAAATTCAATATAGGTGGCAGATAGAAACTCAAGTTTCACTCCAATAAATTTCAGAGGAAGTAAGTAGGGGTATTGCTTGAAAAAGACGTCAAACTATTGGAACCCTAGTGTATGTGATCTAAGAACTGATTTGAGGCTGGTGCTCTATCAAAGAAATCTGAACCTAAAAAATTATTCCCTTCTACCTTTTTCTGGTATTGTTTTAACTTGTCCCTCTGATCCTTCAATACCTAAATGAAATGACCAGAATAACATTAACAATATTAATAATAAACAACTATTGGATGAAGTTTTTGTGACATCCAGAATAATCAAGGTCGAGGTAGGGGTTATCAGCCAAAGCTGAAGGCTGAGGCTGATAACCGGTAAGTGTAAAACGCAGACTGCAGACTGCAGACCGCAGACCGGGGATAAAACGCAGACTCGTTACTAAAACAACCTGCTTCCCCGGAAAAACTTCAAGAATGAGCTGGGATCGAGGCCGCGTAAATCCTGAGAGGCTGGCAACAATTGTCATGTCATTGTGATTAATATTTCGAACTTCATTTCCTCAGATGGTTTTGGCATTGACATATTGTTAAACGGTTAGAAACAGCCAGCCAGATACATTTGTTAATTAAGGAATAAACAGTTGTTCTGAGCAACATTAGGTAGCTTTAACATACACGTTGCTCACGTATACTTTGTTTGGCCTTGAAAATAATAGCGATAGACTTTCATCACCCATCAGCAACTACCAGTTACAAGTACTGAAGACAAGACTGTTGAATTTCGTAGAAAAGGTTTTGGTTATTCATCGTGGTGAATACCACATTTACCCATGTATAATGCACTCTTTCTTTCCATAAAAATAAGCATCAAAATCGCGGTGCGTATTATACACGGATTCTATTGTTTGTCAAGCACGTCCTAATTTGCATACGTTAAAAACACAACAAAGAAAGTAATAGAGTGCGGATCGGTGGCCTGGGGAAGAGAAAAAACTTGCTTGTTTACGACTCATTTGAAGCTCACATGTCCTTAAAACGCGAACTTCCCTTCTCCAGTTACTCGTCATCACACGTGACTACATCGTTAGACAAACGAAAAAACTTAGCTTTTATTATTCACAAAATGTTCTGACATGAAGACCGAAGACTAAATATCCAAAACCAATTTTTTTAAGCCCGTTTTTTAAGTATCAGTTGGCGTCTGACAAAGTGTTTAGGCGAGGAACGCTTTGGCTCGGATAGGCTTTTTGAGCCACAAGCGCTTGATGGGTCATACAGCTTACCTTTAAGCCTTGGCTACTTACCAGAACTACTGTGTCCTGTTGTGTAATCTTTGGTTTCTTCTTGCTAAATGGAGACCCCATGTTGTTCCAGAAAAGATAATTTCCTATCTCGTTCAGACTTCGATTTAAGCCGTATTAGGTCGATTTTACCACCTAAGAGAATTAAAACATTTTGAATGTTTTCGTTTCTAAACAGGAAATAAAGGGTTAGTAAACCCTAACGCCAACATTTTACTCAGGAAATAGCTGAAGAAGCATGAGAACGAAGCTTAATCTATTTTGCGAAACTCAATGAAACGAAACCAGGCGAGATATATCGAAACTAAAGAAATAACGCAAATAATAATCTTTTTATTAAGTAAAGATAACTTTCACAAGGATTTTGGAGTAATCGTCAATTGATAAGAAGAAATTTCATTCATTTCGCAAGGCTGTAACGACACCAAAGTAGCCCTTTCTTTTTCTTTCTCGGTATTATTGTGAATCATGTGCTCGACTAGCACATCAATGTTCCAATATCAAGCACGAAAACGGCGACCCAGTCAAGTTTTTCCATTTTCCGGGGGCAGTTGGACAAATGAATCCTTTCTTTTCTCTCTATCAAATCACTTTGGTTGACAGAAAAATATTGGTTTCAGAATGAATTTGTATAACAATAGTGAAGTTTTATTAACATGCGAGGCAGCGAGGCGTGCGAGGCACCATGCGAGGCGTGCGAGGCATGCAAGGCGTGCGAGGCATCGCAATTTCCTTAAATTTTTCACATGACCATATCGTGGGCTCAAGTGTAGAACTCATCGAGGTTATGTGTTTTTTTAAGTTCACCGCTGACCAGGTTATGGAATTTTATTGGATCGCGGGCTCAAGTATTTCCCAAATTATTAGAACAAAGCTAAAAATTCGGAGCTCCGCTTTCAGGCTTGGCTAAATCTATTTAATATGGTTAATCTTACATAATTCTATCTCGCTTTATTGTTTATTGCTTAGCCCACACCCACTTTTGTAACTTTTAGGTGTCAAATTCTTGTTTCCCGACAAGCACCCCTGGCCGAACACATGTGGGAGTCCAGCCCCCCAGGTTCTAAAGATCGGGATTCACATTTGGGGGCTCCGATGGGAAGGCACGTGTTATTGCACAAATAAATAACAAGTTTATCATCATATCAAAATATATGTTTTCGTAGCTCAAGTGGATAAGGCGTTTGGCCGGTGATGGGGAGGTCCATCGAAACTGATTTTCTTTTCGTGTTAAAAAAAACCAACCAACCAAACTATTTCGGCATTTTTTGATATTTTATATTTTTTTTATATTTTTAAATATATTTTTTAATTTTTTTTTATTTTTTGAGTGCCTCGCATGCCTCGCACGCCTCGCACGGTGCCTCGCACGCCTCGCTGCCTCGCACTTTGTAAGGACCCACAATAGTGTCATTACGTTGGTTGACAAGCGGCCTAAAAACCGTCTGCAATTAATTTTAATCGTTCACAAAAAGTACCCAGAAAGTTGAAACGCGAGGTATTTGGTTACAGTTAAACTGAACGATGGAACTTTCTTTCATTTAATATCTGAATTTTCTCGAGCAATTTGTTCATAGTGAAAGAGCGAGCGAAGTTTTAATTTAACCCATTGACACCTGAACCGTTCGTAACCGCCCGTGCCGCGTGGGGGACTCCAAACTTCCTCTGTTGTTAGAGGATCTATAAACCAATCAGAATCCGTTTTTTGCGCAGTTATTTTGATAACTTTAGGGGGTAGTACACAGGCGTCATTTTATGCGTTCACAAGAAATGATCAACTACAAAGAAATGGCGTACGCGCGGCCGACTTTCAATATTTTCAAGTCGGATTTTCTGTTCCTTTCCCACCATTTTAGACCTTCTGGAACACAAAATGAAAAGGAAAAATGCTATAGAATAATCTGCTCGAAAAATAATGGACATCACGTTCTTAAAGGCGACAAAATAAGCTTTCGAGTCGACAACACTACAATTCTCTAAAGCGATGCGAATTAGGGCCGTAAAGCGAAAACCAAACTATCGGACTTCAAGCGAGGCCTAGAGACATTATGAAGATTCAAAGGCACGGTAAATATCATGTTTGAATAATGAGATGTCCAAAAAGTATTGTTTAATAGAAGATTTTGTGTTAAAACGTAGAACTTTCAGTATTTTCAACACAACGCTGCGCAATATTCTAGCTGTGAAGTCAAGTAAACATCGATCTAAGCATGATGAATTCTACTTCGTGGGTTTCGCACACGTAAGAAATTCGTACGTTTTTCGGTTCTAACAGAAAATCAAGAACTGTTTTGAATAAATCTTTCTTCCCGAAACGTTCCTTGGTCAGTTTTGTCTTTCTCCTCATTTATAATTTCCATGTAACATGAGATCTCTCCACACACCGATAAATTTGCATATTCACTTTGAAATCCGAGCCGCATACTTTTTTTGGACACGTGCGCAAAAATTTACTGATTTTTATCTTTTATCTTGATTTTAGAGTAAAAACTTAATATGCATCTATTGCTTTCCTCGTTGATAGTAAGTTATTTAAATGGTCTTCTTTCACGTGAGCTTGTTTTTGGGGAAAAAAGATTTCTCAAACTTTACTGCGCATTGTGTTTACTTTTCCGGTTTCTCCAAAATTTTAACTTTTGGGTAGGCACGTGTTACACGTAGGAGTCAATGGGTTAAGTTCTACAACAAATATACGCTCCTGGTGAGTCTTTCCAATTCCGTTCAATTTGGACATTTGTACCTTAAATTGCACAACATAAAAAGGAAGGAATTTTTTGAGAAAAGGCCGCATTACATTCCCTTGTGTCTCGTTGGAGTGTGCCGTTCGAATTTAGTTTTTGTGAAGGAAAGATCAGAGTTAAACACGCCATTACAGCAAACAAACGAGCAAACTCTCACAACTTCAAAATAAAAAAATTGAATTTACTCACAATTACTTTCCTCGCCGTTTACTTAATGAACAGAGGTAAATCTTCGTACATGAATGAATGGTCGATGAGAGTGAATAATACTTTCCGTTAGATCATTAACTGATTTTGAAGAAAACATTGTCGTGACAGTCCTTGCCAAACTAGTTCTGTTGGTTTTCAAATGTTCCTACGCTTTTTTTTTTCTTGCGCGCTCTCTAATTGACAGGTGTCAGATTGTGACAGATACTTGTAAAAATAATGTTTCAAAGTTTGTTTGGAAGCCTTTTAAATCACCTTTCTCGATACGGAAATGAAAATGTTTCGCTGAGGCATCTCTCTTAAATTTGCATCACCTCTATTTTAACTACCATTTACCCACTCAAAAATTGTTCAGTTTATGGAAGATCTTGCCGTATTTACGTCCATAAATCATTCGGGTTCTTTCGGAAAGAATTTCGTCAAGTTTAAAAACAATAAATATGTTATTTACCGGCTAAGGGTCGGTCCGTATGGTGAAAAACTGTGACCGAGGTCTTGAAAATGCTGCCCTCGGCCTACGGCCTCGGGCAGTATTATACAGAGCTTGACTCAAAGTCCGAACTTTCGGGGTTTGTTTACATCAAAAATCACGTGAATTGATGGTCGTGGTAGGGGTTTTGCGAACCCTGAATTTACCTCAAATCCTCGAGCTATAGACAACATCATAGCTCCTCTTGAAGCGAATTTCACTTCATATTGTTTAACAAGTTTCTTCGGTTTTTCATTAACATCAGCCAAAGTATTACAGCGCGGTTTAGTGTGGATGGAGAAGAAGGTTTTCTTTGATCATGCAAAGCCCCAGTTGCTTCACCGTTTGCCTTCTGTTGTAGTTTTTCTGGTGTTAGCCATTCTTTGCTTTTTTCTTCTATGCTGTCTGACTTCGATTTTTCTTCGGGCGTGTTTTTGCGCGACTTAATGACCCGCTCTAACTTGTTGCGACATTCTACAAACTTCAATTTATCAGCGGCTTTTATCGTGTGGATATATTTCTCTCTATAATCTACAATGTAACGCGAAGGAACCGGCCGAGGAATAAAGGCACTATTGATTGTGTGTGAAACAAGAGCATTCGCTGATGATATTTTGATATCACGCATTAAGTCATTTATCTTCTTGTATTTATTCGCCTTCATCTGGTGTAATTAGTTCCACTGCCATTTTTGTGAAATACGGACGCGCAGCTCGGAATGTTAAAAATGGTAGGATAATATCTTAGCATTCCTAAAAGTACTTACAGTTAAGGCCACTTATGTCCCCTCGTGAGATGATCGTTCTCGGCGAAATAGAGGCCACTCTGCAGACTCAGTTCGTAGCACGACAAGTACTTAATGCCTAGGAGATCGAGAGATATAAAATTACGGGATGGTTGAAACTCCGGACAACATTATGAATAGGAGGATGAGCGAGGCACACGTAGAAATGAGGAAAGTAGAAGAGATTTACATGTACCTGATAGAGGAGGCAGCAAAATCACTGATAAGGATGGAGAAAAGCCAAACTCAAAGTCTGAGGCTGAGATTCTCCAAGGGCGTTTAATCGAGACGTCTATGAAACTGAAGAAATTTGCATTGCCGGAAGCGCTGAGTAGGTCACAGGTTACCCAAGCTCACGTCTCGAGTTGTGTGACTAGGTAGGCGAAGGCGCGCTATAAAAGGAGAGGTACCTCTGGATCATTTGTCAATCAACCATCGTGGCATACAGAACTCCAAAACAGCTTGAGCTGCAGCCAATGCAAGGCACTGACCAATTCATGAACGCGTTACGCGTTGTGTGACTCGAGAGGAATCGTTGAAAATTTGAACACGTTATAAGGAATAGTAAGGGGAATGAAATACGGTCGATTTACAACGACCAACACTTACTCATATCCTGTGTGTCCGTTGTAGTTTCCAGCGATTTCTGCTGTTTTAAGCTTGCTTTACCATCACTGTTATTTGTCAAAAGACATTAATCGTTGGCTTTTTCTCGATACGTGAACTTGGGCCGCCTGTGAGCAGGTTGGCCCAACCAGAGCCTTAAGAAAATTTGACAGAAACGTCATATAAAGCAAAAATGATGTATCACTTTACATTACGTTTCAGGTTACACGAATGTAAGGCGAGAAAATAGCATACT